CGTGACCGTCTAGCACGATGGGGTGTCGCTAACTCGAATTTTTGTGTCCACTGTGGGCAGGTCGAAACCAACACCCACGCGGTGTTTGAGTACGTTGCAGTTAAAACGTTTTGGACTCTTGTGAATCGCATTTTTGCGCTGCCACCGAGCAGACATTTCTACGCTAGACACCGGAGCGCGGGTGTGGTGTTTGCCGCCACCTGCTACGTCTTGTGGCAACAGAGGAACATTGCTGTGGGCCGCCAGCGCCGTCTCGGTCTGATGTTCCCGTTGCTGTGACGGCTCCGGACACTGCTCCTCTCCCACCTCGAGGACGCACTTTTTGCCCTTGGGGAGGAGGAGTTTCTCCGGAGGTGGCATGCGGACTTCATTGGCGTTGCAGGTCGCAGAGTGGTGCTACAAGTTCGGTGGTGCCTTGATTAATTCTGTTTTCACGCATCTTTCCGTAGTGTAGCGGCTGGAGCCGTTCTAGTCTACTTGTTATTTATTTTTTATGTGTCTGTGATCCTTTTTTGCCGCCCATGTCCAGATAAGGAATGTACATATTTGTATCGCTCCCGGGGGGGCAATTTCTAGTCGTTATTTACGTTCGGATGCGTCCTCTTTGTGCCTTACGTTTCCTCGTTTTGTTTGTGTACCGCTGTCCCAACTTGTAAATAAATTTCTCTTTCCAAGCTGAAGGAACACCGCTCCCATGATTCCTTGAGAGCGGGCCGGGGTGCTTGGGAATACTGCAAATGGTCTATTGTAACCTGAGGTTTTCAAGTGACATTTTATTTTAATTATTCTCAGTAGTTAGTAAAACACCTTGCAGACACACTGCAAGCCTCGACATTTGCCTTCATGTCGATATCCGGGTGCATTGGAACCTACTGTGTATGTAAAATAACAGGTTTACTTTACTGTCCCTTGGAATGCAGCGTTACAGAGATTGCAGGAATACAACAAATCATGAGCCATTCCACTCTGTGAAGGTGGATGACCAGCGAAGCTGTTTAGCAAATTACACAGACCCGCCTCGAGGAGCCGGAGGAAGCTAGACACGCGCGACGGGATCGCCACCCGGCGGAAAGAAGACACGCGCGACTGGACCGTCACCCCGGGAAAAGCGGAAGGAAAGGAAACTATGCACGCAAGCGCTCAGAGCGACGACAAAGAGGGGGCGGTGCGAGCATAGACACGGCCGATGCGGGTCGCAACGCGGCAAATCTTTGAGAAACCTTTATTATCTACCTGAGAGTATACAGATCTTGAAAATGGTGCGTATTGATAACTATTCTACTGAAAATGCAGATCCAAGTGATGAGACGTAGAATCTTTTGCATAGAATCAAGCGATTTTTAATCAAATTTAGGACCTGAGTTTTTGTTGACGCACACGAAAAATCCACGTAACCCTAGCCACATACAGCTTCGTTGTAATATTAAAGCTGTAGATTTTAAATCCGTAGCTATATTGGGCCAACCAACCTCACGACCTGCGTAAGCACAAAATGTGCAAGTCAGTCAGTCCGCAACCAATAAACGATCTCGAAAAAAACTGCAAACAGTGCCAGGGATCGAACCCCGGTCACCACCGTGGAAGCCGGGTGCGCTGCTGACTCGGGTATACAGACCCAGCACGCAGGAACGGGAGGAGCAGAAGCAAGTGGTTGGAGAAAGCGCGAGGTGCGGAGAAGGGTGAAAAGGGCAACAAGGGGAGGAGCAGAAACAGGTGGCGCAGAAAAAGTGCGCGGAACGAGAACGAGTGGAAAGGGCTGGAAATCGCGCTTTCCCTCCCTCGATGACACAAAAAATTCAGTTCAAAGGCTTTGTATTCTGATGTTATTGAAGAAAAGCGCGCGCTTCGTCGCAAGGGGATAATGGTGTAACCTAATATATTTTCATACAAAATCCTGCCGTATATAGGAACCACCTGAACTAAAAGTACCACCCACCTCAGGCACTGAAAGACAAAGGGTCATTTTGTCCTATACTCTAAGAAAAAATGGAGGAAAAAAGTAGCAACGGCGCGTCTTCCTCCCTTCTACTGACGCGCCCCAAGCGGACACGAGAAAAAGGGAGGAACGAAACGTTTTTCTTTTTCTCCAGGCAGACGGGAGAAAGCTTTCGCCCTCCTGACTCATTTTCGGTCCGTTTCGTTTTTCGAACAGATTGCGCACGTTGTTTAATAAATGCTTTTGAGTTGATTGAGCTTCAGTGGCAGCGAGAGCCGCCTGTAATTCCGCCTTCTAGTCAAAACGTGCAGAACATTTCGGTTGCATTGGCGTTCTTACCACTAATTTTATCAAACGAGCAAACGAAGCTGCTAGAAACAGCGAGGTTCCGGAGCAGTGCCAGCAGCGCCAAGGTACACTGGGTAAGATGGCCGTCTCCGGATTGCGGGACTCACGCGGAACTACAGTCCTACAGTAGCGAAACCACTTGGAACTGTGTCGACGTTTTCGACGTTATGGAAATCGCAGGATAGTGTGTCCAAGACAGGCAGGTTTTGCTGCCGGCTGCCTGGATGCCTTCCGTGCTGAGTTCGGTTCTGTTTTCCGATGCCGAGTGCAACCGGCGTTCAACGTAGTTCTGTATCTGTGCGTGTCAGCAACATAGCAGCAACATCGTGATGGCAGTGTTGTGGGTTGTGAACAGAAAACTGGAATTACCGCCGATGTGACCGTGTGTCCGCGTATTAGTGGTGTAACAACAAGATGACGTAAACTGTCGGGCATTGATGCCGCTGGTCGGGCCGTGGTCGGAGGGGGCGGAGTGTCGCAGGTTGACATTCCGCTTTACATTAAAACGTTTAATACCACTTGAGGGATTAGTTGCAATCGATCGACGCGCGGATAGTCATGTTGGAACGCTGGTCTGAACAGTAAGCTCCTATCGTACAGTGGCCAATATGGCTGTCGGTTGTCTCGTCCCCGAGAGCGATTGCGCTCTGGGGAAAGGACTGAACAGTACGAAATCGTGACGGAAAGTACGTATATTTACAGTGTGGAATTTTAGCATTAAAAAAAAAAAGAATAGTAGGTAAAATCGAGAAAAAAACTACACTTGATTTCGTTGTTTAAATATACTACGGTTTCTGGAGAAACTGCCCTCCAAGTGGAGCCGCCTCGGTGGCTCCGAGGCGAGAGCGCCTGCCTACGGATCCCCAGGTGGCGGGTTCGAATCCCGACCGAGGTGCCCGCAATATGACGGAGGCTTATTGCGGAGAAGGCGCCGCGTAACCGAGCTTTTGGTTGCACGTCAAAAGATCCCCAGGTGGTCGAAATTAATCCTCAGTCCTCCACTGGGGCGTGCCAGATGCCCGTCGTAGGTTTGGCACGTAAAACCCCCAAATTTGACTTTTGCCCTCCAAGTGGCGCGCTGGGATGAGCGAGTTTTCGAGCTCGCCACGGCGTAGCTCCGTACACTTAACACCTGCCGCAAGTCGCGGCTTTGACTGCATTCAAGTTAATCGAAAAGCGATTTCTCAGCCCGTGAAGCATCACTTCCAGCTGAGTGAATTTCCGCTCCACGTAAATTAAATTAAGACGGCAATTGCAGCCTTGCGCGAACAGCACAAATAGAAAAACAAACATTACAATAGAAATACATGCTACGACGTGGCGTGCGGGGAAACAAACTCATGACTTCGAACCGCACTGGAGCGGCTTGATTTATTGGCTTTCAAAGAATTACGGCATGATCGAGCGTTTGCTTTTTAATAAGAGATTCATCCCCTGAGCCATTCAAAATACTCTCAGAGGTATGACATTGCTGGAAAAAAATCAACATGCTGGGAATATTTTTTATTGCTCATTCAGCCACCGAGAAATTCCGTACGTTCAAAACGACCAGTATAAAAGACGGAAACGCAGGGCTCGGGAGCAGTGATCGGGGTAGTGTGCTGTTGTATTGATGTACGGTATGTGCGATGCCTGTGTATGCGCTCAATATATGTTCACCTGATGCTCGTAGTGTGCGTAATGTGTGTACAGTAGAGGATCCCCAAGTGCAATAGTGGCCTGCCTAAGGAAATCAAATTATTTTTTGTAGAACATGAATTGGGCAGTACCTACCGCCACCTAGTCTAGCTACTTGCAATTACTCTGCTTGACCCTGCCATCTGCTGGCAAGCGATTTAACCTTCTTTCACGCTACGCGATAAACAGCGGCTTCGAGTTTGTCCTTTTGAGAGCGGCTTTTGGTTTCGGGGATTGAGTTTGCCCTTCTCCGTGATGTGCGGTTGACGAAGGAATTGTGACTCAAGGAACACCAAAGGTTAGACGTAAAGTGCGCGAAGTAACTGGGTATTCGTTGTCTCCGTTTAACATCGCAGTGCTGTCGACGAGAAGACTGAGTAACTGCTTTCGAAACGCAAGTTTCTGTACCTGTGGGGGGAATCTGGCTTCGGAAATAAACACAGTTCGTGGAAAGCGCGTGTTACGCATTTATTTGCTGCTCCTCTCGTCCCGTACAAAGAGACGTAGCGTCCTCGTTAAGCCTTATTGAGCTCGATTTGCTCGATTCAGGGCCGCCATAATGAGATGCAGGCAACGGATGAACTAGTTGCTCCCCTGCTTTAGGGACAAAAGTTTCTCCCTTTCTAAAGGAACATAGGTTACAAGACCGTTCCTCCCCTAAGGGAGGACTATCGATACCCTTTTTTCTAAGAGTGTAGGCATCACCCGAACTAAGAGCACCACCCACCCTATAAAGCTACCGCATTTAAGCGCGTTTGGCAGAATCACCAAACATGCAGTCAATTATTTTCTTTGGTTAGAGATCACGACCAAAATAGGCTCAAGCAGCCCTGGCAGGTTGTTGACTGAAATAAACGTTTACTTAGTGCCGGGACTTTAAAATAGAGAAATAAATCAACACATAAATTTGAGTGCCTGACACTAATTTTACAACCCAAAAAACAGGGTACCGGACGACCAGCTCCGCAAGTAGTGACATGAGGGATCAAGTTCTCCTAGATACATCGGTCTAGCTGCTCTCTTCTGAAGCAAACTGGACATGAAGATCATAGTGTTGGCCATGTGCTTCGCCGTAGGAAGTGTTTTCAGCTCCGATGACGTTACTCGAAAAGACGGTAATTATCTACTTTCTTTTTGGGCATGCATGTCACAATAAAGCTACTGTGTTTCTTTTCACGAAAGTCCTGTGCCACGGCTTCCATTTATAACGAATGATTTATTACATATTAAGGTACATTTACATTAGATTATGGTTAAAATACCCGTTCAAAATATTTCATGGGGCGCGAACTAAATAAAGCTTTCAATCAGTATACTATTTGTTGGAAGTTTTCCAAGGACTGTTTAACGTACTCGCTCTTTTTGCAAACAGCGCGAGAATGGAGCAAGCTACCGGCACATGTCGTGACCGCTGGAACTCGAGAAGAGCTTAAAGGGACCATGAAATGATTTTAAAATCGAATTTCATCCACCGCACGTCGTAAAAGGTGTGAAAAGGAACACAAAAACACAAGACTAGGGAGCCAAAAAAAATTATTTGCTATAGAACTTTTAAAAGAAAACTGGACTCTTTTGCGACTTCTTTCCTTCGAAAGCTCTGCCTTTTCACTACGATGCATACGCAGAATCGGTGCACGTCAGCCGAATCCACATCGCCTATTGGGTAAGAGCCTACCTCACCAGCACCGCGATCGTAAGCAATAAATAGCCGGCGAATGTTTCCTAAAAGTTTTGTTAAATAATATTCAGATCCACATTTTGTAGCATAATTAGAGATGTGTGGCGAAAATTGCCAAATTTGATAATGCTGAGAGCCAAGCGCCATCTATCGTGTGGTAAACGAAGCAACTACTGCGCGTGCGCAGTTGGGCAGGGCCAAGTCAGCCAAGTTCAGAACGGTTATTTCCTTTGGTTTCCTTCCTCTCAAAACTCTGACTGACTGAACGTTTATTTTTCTACGTGTTCATCTCGCGCGTGCCGACTTCAAGCAGCAAGAAAGAAATGTACTTAAAACAAACCACGACGAACAAGAACGCTGGATCCACAAACACCCGAGAAGAGCGACAACAGCCGCGAATCCCACTCCGACGAAACTCTCAGAATATAGGCCTAGCAGGCACTCCGACTCGGCGCAGCGTTGCTTCGTCGCAAGACCGTCTGCCTACGACCGGCTGGCGTACTGAATGGAATATGCCCGCGCTACCCTTGTGGACCCTTCCGTATTATAGTTTGATCGCTGACCTCAATTTTAGGTTAAGAGGTGAGGTCAATCTCTTCCCCTTGTTTTCCGAGGCAGTGTTGACGCTCGTCGAAAAGGGACCCTCGTCGATCCTCTCCTTGTTTTGTGTGATATAGAGCTGAAATAAACGCTGTATGGATTACCTTCGTAGCACGGTATGTACACTTTGTTATTGGTATGCCATTTTTATTCTGACAGACTGCACGTCACTGTCGAGCTGTAACAGTTCGTGGGAGGTATACGTACAACCACGGTCCAACCTTTCTTTGCCGAGTGTCGCGTCAGTATCGAGTTGCAATCGTAAAAGAACGGTCCCGAAGCGCTTACCAACAGCGCGAATACAGCACTTCCATCAAGCGCGCGTCCGCTCCGATTGTAAACAGGTATTTACGTGGCTCTTGCTGACACTCGTAGTTCAAACGTATCTTTTTTAACGTCGGCTCGCTCCTGCATATCCGAGGCCGCGAAAAACGCCGCGGCAAATTGTTCCCATCTGCACTTCCCAACAGGCATACCGGCGTATGGGACTAGTCCCATGCTGTCGCTGTAGCGCAACGTATCTCATTGAATTTCGTTCAGCTGCGATGCGGCGATGAGAGGCGCCGATTCAGAAAATACGTCGGTGACATCGGCGCAGTAAAACCCACCGGCGCACCCCAACTCGCTAACGCTCCCATCTCCTACTGCAGAGAGAACTTCCGGTTCCGGAAACATCGTACGTCACGGCTTGTTTTGCGGTCAAGAAAAAGTCGATATTTCATTAATTTTTTGTGTAGAAGTTAATAAACCGAGACGAAAACGGATGCCTGTTCGGCATTCAGTGAACATTGACGGTTTATTGTAAAAGTTATGTGGAAAAAGTAAAAAAGTCATTTCATGGTCCCTTTAATTTCCTTGTTTCAGAGATTTCTGACAGCAGTACCTAGAGTTGTCATTTCACCGTTGTGTTGAATACGTGTTATTAATTTGTGCATTTTTAGCGCGTGTATTTTTTGTGTTTTTTGTGTTGTGCAAATCCACCCTTATCTTGGTCCTGTGTAGAACCGATAGTATTTTAAATAAATAAATACCAGACTTCACTAATAGTACAGAACTAGCTTTACATGCCCATCATAAAGAGCGATGCAGGGGTAGAGTGCACTAGAAACTACGAGTGGGACGAGCTACAGGCTCCGCTAATGCTTTCAGTTGCACCTCAAAATGTTGAAAGCGATCAGGTGAAACCAAGCCACTTCGATCAGAGCGCCACCTTCCCTCCGATCGAACCGAGCGAAGACACAGATCAAGGTCATTAGGAGCAATATAGCCCCTTAGCGGCTATATTGTATTTTTTTATCATTTTGACGTCAGAGGTAAAGTCAAAGCACCACGACACGACGACGTGACGTTACGACGACGCCACGACGTCATCGTCGACTACGACGTTACGCGACGCCAAGATGCTGTCGTAAGACCGTCGTGACATCCCGTCGCGTCGAGGACGACGCCGTTTTGCGACATCAAGTCGCCGTTGTAACGCAGTCGTGACATCGCGTTGAGGACAACGCCGTTATGCGACATCAAGTCGCCGTAGTGACGCGGCCGTGACATCGCGTCGCGTTGAGGACGGCGCCGTCACGCAACATCAAGTCGCCGTTGCAACGCGGTCATGACGTCGCCCGCCGCGTCGAGGACCACGTGGACGTGGTCGTCGATGCCGACGTTCACGTCGACGCCCCACGCAACGTCAAACATCGCTATTACGTCACGTTAACGTCGTCCTGACGTCATCGTTAACGTCAACGTCACAACAAAGCCTTGACGCCGTGTAATGTCGTCGCTTTCGCCAGCATCAACGTCGACGCGCAGTCACGACGAAGTCTTGTAACGTCGCCGACAATGACGTCGACGTTGACGTCGTGAAGTTGTTTGGACGTCTTTGTGACGTCGAGTTGCATCATGTCGACAACGATGTCGACGAACTGACACCAAGCGTCCTTATGACGTCGCATTGGCAAGGACGTCGTCATCTTGTCGTCCCGTGACACTGCCGTCGTCGTCATCAACGTCAACGTTGACATTGTCGTCGTTGTCAACGCAATATGACGTCAGAATGCAGTCTTAATATCGTGTAACGCACTTTGTCAACGTCGATGACGACGTTGACATCAAGGCGTCGTCCTGATGTCGCATGGCGTTATGACAACAAGTCAGGTCGCGGTGACTTTATGTACGTGATTACTGACGTCTAGGTTGTATGAAAAATATATTCCGGCGTTCTATTGTTTCTATGACATTGACCAGTGTGCCGGCCGAGCTTGGATTTGGAACGAAACGCGTTTTTCATAAAAAATGGCTAATCCAAACCACCTCGGTCGTAGCGCCCCAGAGGGCGCTACGAGCGAAGTGGCTTGGATTAGCCGGTTTTTTCCACATCCTGAGGTACCTAAATAGCACTCCGGTGGCCCCACTCGTCCCTTCTAGTGCACTCTAGCAGGGGCTTACGTGAGGCTTATCAATGCTACTAACTCCCCCATGCACAAAACCAAGGCCACCATGGCTGTATGTACCTTGTCCGCTCTCTACTTTCTTTTAGCCCTTCGGGTTCCACGCCTAAGAGTACGCCAACTTGTGGAGTCCTCGGTGGACCCGGCGGGTCGGATAGGAACGTCCAATCACCTGCGCTGCTCTTACGAGACTTTATTCAAAACATGATGATGATATAGAAGTAAGTGAAGGGACTCATAGCATAAAAGAAGACTAAGTTATCCGAATATATAAAAATATAACAATGAAGTCTGAAGACACAACATCCCCCCAATCCCTTTTTGAGACAGTCAATACATGTAGAAAATTTAAAAGAAGAAAAGGATCAATCCAAAAAATCAAGGAAAATAGTTCACCTACAAAAGCTAATAAAAATAATTACTAAAAAAAGTGAAAGCCGTTTACAACTCCCTGTAACGCCGAATTGGAGCGCAGCTCTTGAGGAGGAGGAGGGAAGGGTACTGAGGAGAGGGTAGACCCCTCCTCCTTCTCCTCCTCCTCCCCTCATTCTTTAATATGCTCTGGGGAGGGTCACGTGACCTCGGGGGGGGGGATGTCACGTGACTTCGGGGAGGGGGTCACGTGACCTCGGGGAGGCGTGACCTGGAGGTCACGTGACCTTGGGTGTCACGTGGGGGTCACCTCAAGGTCACGTGACCCCCAAGGTGACCCCCACGTGACCTCAGGGGGTTACGTGACTTTGGGGGTCACGTGACCTGGAGAGGTCACGTGACCTTGGGGAGGAGACCACGTGACCTCGGGGGTCACGTGACCTCAGAGGGGTCACGTGGGGGTCACCTTGGGGTCACGTGACCTTGAGATGACCTTGGGAGGGGTCACGTGACCTCAGGGGTTCACGTGACCGTGGGGGTCACGTCACCTGGAGGGGTCACGTGACCTTGGGGAGGAGACCACGTGACCTCGGGGGTCACGTGACCTTAGATGGGTCACGTGACCTTCAGGGGGTCACGTGGGGTCATCTTGGGGTCATGTGACCTTGAAATGACCTTGGGAGGGGTCACGTGACCTTGGGGGTCACGTGACCTTGGGATGACCTTGGTTACGCCGACGCCGACGCCAACGGCGACGCCGACGCCGCTCAAGCCAGGAACGGGCCCCTAAGAGCTGCGCTCTAAAATAAATAGTTCACGTCTTAAACCTTAAGTTTGTCAAGGCGGTTCATTTTGTGACGTAGTCACGGAATCGCACTGGTAGTTGCCGCTCTCGTCGTGGTCGCTCTGATCTGTCACCACGTCCGTCCGGTCTGGATGCAGGCGCCAGTCCCGTTGAAAGGGGTGGAAATGCTGCTGAGGGCAGCTCATCTCCAGCAGGAAATGCGTTCTGCGGAGGTGGCCCTGCCAGTTGTTCATAAGAGAGACGTAAACGATCCGGGGAAATCCGTGACCCGTGTTGGCCCTGCCAGAATTATGATGTAGTCGATTGCCAGCTGTGGTGAAACGCTGATTTTGAGTTATGTGGTGCTTTCTTTATGCTGGCGTCCGAAGGTCGACTCTTGGGGGCTGTTCTGAACAAAGAACACTCTGGACGAAAAAATAGTCAGAGTGCAGGCGAGCTGGTGTAATTTGGACATGATTGTAAACCTGAGACTGTGTAAGTTGGACATGATTGTAAACCTGAGACTGTGTAAGTTAGACATGATTGTAAACCTGAGACTGTGTAAGTTGGACATGATTGTAAACCTGAGACTGAGATTGTAAACCTGAGATTGTAAACCTGAGACTGTAAACTTGAGACGTTGCCTCCTCTTTTACTACCTTCTGTTGTGTTGAGACGTTGCCTCCTCTTTTACTACCTTCTGTTGTGTTCTCTTCCTGCCCCAGTCTCAGGTTTACAATCATGTCCAACACTCTGGAACTGCCGTAAACTTTGAAGCATTCCAGGCTTCATTGTTTTCCGATTAAAATGTTCAACGTCCCTCGCGTTCCACTATTCGAAGTGGACTGCTGAACGCAGCAGATCCTTTTGGAATAAAGCCCGGGTTCCTTATACGAACAAAGCTGTCCAACGATGACAAAAACAATCCCTGGAGAAGGGAAACAAAGGGGACAAAGGACAAACATAAATCTCCACCAAGCACTGCTAGGTGACTGGTGTGCGACCGAAAAACTCCGCCTGGTCCTAATATCCAACCAGGGACCTCTCCATTTCCAGTGGAGCACTCTACCAATTGGTCCAGCTCGCTTGCATCTTTGCATTTAATTGCATTATCATCAAGCTGTTAAACATTGAAATTCGGCGCTCTAGCCCCGCGTCTCCTGTCGATGTATTCGTTGGCTTTTCTTGCAGTTGCTTCACGCAACGTCGAAGTCTTTGCACTTCTTCGAATGGTTTGCGCAGAAACTGCGACCACTACAGGCCCATGATGCCAGTCTAGTTCGTGATTTGAATCCATGAAGTAGTAAAGCGGGAGAGAGGCCTGTTGTGGTGTGTGGTGTACATCTGTAGATTCCCAAGTAATCAACAAAAGCTGATTTTAGTTTCCACTTTTCTCCCGATGCACATTGAATGAAGCCCTTGAGAGTTCTATTCAATCTTTCAACTTGCCCGTCGGCTTGCGGGCCAGTTGGTGGTGCTTTATGGTGCTTTATTCCGCGGGATTCAAAGAAGTGTTTAAATTCCTTTCATATGAATTGTAGGCCATTGTCCGAGACGATGTATTCTGGAAACCCTTCTCTGGAAAAGATCAGATGCAAAAACTATGTGACTCTAACTGTTTTAACTTCGACCCAAAAAAGCGCCTCCGGCCATTTCGAAAAAGAATCTACTGAGGACACGGCGTAGCCGCATCACGGGTCCGCACGCTCGAATGGCCCCTGAATGTGAATCCCAACCTTCGAGCATGGCCGACCTGGGAAGGGCACCGGTTGGAGTGCCGTAGTGTACGTCTTAGCTCTTTCGTCAGCCGCTTGGCAGATTTCAGGCATGGATGTCCTGTTCCACTTAGTTGTTTATTTTGGTCATGAGTAGAGCTCCCAGAGTCATGTGCGCGTATTTACTATGCCAGGATGTCCCTCATGCGCCTTTGCGATGAGACGAGCTTGCAGTTCCTGTGGTATGATGAACCGCTCGTCGTGCAAGAGGATGCCGTCGTCCACGGCAAAGTCGTCCCTCACGTCGTAAAATGGTGAGACATTGGAGGACAAGTTGCGTCTAGGAGGCCACACTGATATAACGTACGACATGACCGCAGTCAGAACTGCGTCGTTAGCTGTGGCTTCTTGTAGTAGCGCTTTGGTGATGCATTCGTTGTGCAATGCAATAAAATAAACTATTTCTTTATCAAATACGATTCCGTTTCATCTTCCGGCTGTGGAAGGCGAGATAGTGCGTCAGCCACTTGATTTTCAGCTCCGCCTTGAAATTCAACTTGAAAGGTGTAGCGGAGAAGACGTGTTGACTATCTTGTTATTCGAAGTGGTCGATGGTCTGTACTACGCGCTGCCAACAGACTCACCAAACATTGATGGTCGGTTTTAAGAGTGAAACGTCGGCCCCACAGGTAGTTGTGCCATCGTTCGCACGCCCACGGGCATGGGAGTGCTTTCCTTTCACTCACAAAGTATTTTCTCTCTACAGTTGTTAGTGTGTTGGAAGCAAATGCGGCAGTCTCTGCCTCTTTCCCATTGCTTTGTTGGAGAACGAAACCAAGGCCGTACGCCGACGCATCTGTAGACACGATTATGGGAAAGCTTGGATCAAACATTTTCAGCACGCTTGCTGAAGCCAGCAGTGTTTTTATCCTCTAGATGCTGGTGTCAGCTTCAGTATCTCAGAATAAAGGGATGTCTTTTCGCAAAAACTTGCGCGGTGGGTCGGCTTCTGCTGCAAGACGAGGGACAAAACGACTGTAGATACTTTACCATTCCGAAGAATGAACGAAGTTGTGAGATGTTCATTGGGATGGGAACCGCGTTAATGACGTCCACTTTTTGTTTAAGCGGAGGAGTCCCATTCCGCTGACGTGATGACCCAGGAAGGAGAGTTCGGCAACGTCAAAAGTGCATTTGTTGTTCAATTTTAGTCCAGCGTCAGCGATACGCTGCAGAACATGACTCAATCGCTCTAGATGTTCCTCTCTCGACTTTCAAAATACGGTGGCGTCAGCTAGGTAAAAGAGGACCCACTTGCACCCTTCTAGGACTGTAGCCACCATCTGTTGAAATGCTTCCGGTGCATGTGCGAGGCTGAAACAAACTCGCTTGAAGCAGAATAGGCCTTCATGCGTCATGAACGCGGTTAGGTCTCGACAGTCAGGGTGCAGTGTTACTTGATGGTAGGCTGACGCAAACTTCAATTTAGAAAAGCGCTTTGCATCGTGTAGGGCATTGAAAAGTTCCTCAACATGAGGCAAGGGATAACTGTCAATGACGACAGCCTTATTGGCTTCTCGGATGTCAACACACATTCGTATTGATCCATCTTCTTTTGGACTACCACAGTTGGTAAAACCCTACCCGAGGCACTTATGCGTTCGATCACGTCCGCTGTCACAAGGCGCTTCATCTCTTTGGGGACAGGTTTTTGTGCCATCAGAGGTATGCGACGTATGTGTTGCACAGGCCGCACTGATTTCCGAATCTTCACTTTGTGAATAAAGCTCTTGACGAGACCCAGTTCGGGAGTGAAGAGATGTCTGAAATTAGTCAAAGACGTAGTTAGGCTTCGTAGAACTGGTGTAAGACTTTTCACGTCAGAGTCAAACCCATTCACTGGTGTCAAAGAACCAGCAGACGGAGAGGTCTTCTGGAGCCCTATGCAGGACCCCAATGCAGTCTCGATGCCCTCCGACGACTAGTCTCGTTCTGAAACATGTGCGGGTGCCGTTATAGGCGATGTCTTCGACTCCAGGTGGTGCTGAGACGTGCTTGTATAGCTCTGATACGTAACTGGTGAGTCGAGATGCATGGCTTTGTCAGAACCTGGTGCGTATGCATCTGCTGGGTTGCAGCCTCAGTGTAATAGCAGCTCATTGTTGACACTTGGATCTGCAGGCTCAGAGCTTTACCATCATCTATTCCCAACCACAATGTTCCAGTATTAGCGATGTAAAGTAAAATCTTGGATGACCGGGTTTTAAATTGCACCGTTGCGTAGTAGGCATTAAGTACCTCGATACGCTGGCGGAAATAGTGAAGCAGGGTCGCAAGCGGTGGGATTATCTTGGCATTGCTACCAAAGTACTTTAGCAGTAGTACTAGTAGTAGTAAACTTTATTTTGTCCGAGATGGACTTTAGGGAGGAGGGGAGCGAGGGGGCCCGTCTTTTTCTTCCTCAAGCGGTGGCTAGGCCCTGGGCTTTGGCGGCGTCTTCGGCCATCTGGACGACCCGAAGTTGGAGATCCGGGTCTGAGCTAAGCAGTGCAGTCTCCCATTGCTCTATAGGGTGGTAATAGCAAAGAAGGTAATGAGCTGGTACGTTTTGGGGTACTTATCAGGGGGCACGACCACAAGATGTTGTGAAAATCCGCCCTACCTGCGCATAGTTTACAATATAATGTACAGACCGGGACACAGGTGACTGCATGTGCGTCACTGGGTTTGGGAAAGTGTGCGTTTGTAAAAACGCCAGGAAACTGCTTGCTCTTCATCTAAGTTTTTGTGAGCCGCGGGGTAATGCTCTTTGCCTTGTCGGTAAAATTGTAGAATTTCCTTGTGCGAGAAGCAGACGACTTGCTCCCCGCATACGTATTGGCGCATTTGACGATCGTAGTGCAAGTATGAAACCGCGCCAAATGTTTCCGTCTTGTTTGTTTGTTTTTTTCCCACCGAGGTTAGACGTCCCGTGGACCGTTCGCTGCCTGGCCGACATCGGTAATTGTACATTTCCCGAAGTTAATCTGACATGGCACTTCAACAACTTAAAAAAAGATTGTGACCCGGGTCCCGTCTGTCCAACGAGTATCAATTATTTCACATCCTCGACAGAATGCAAGAAAGCATGCCTAAAAGTGGGTACGTATTAATTGCAACCAATTCTCAGAAGAGAAGGCCTTTTAAACATCTCATTTCATGCACCGTTTTGTATCTATATATATATATATATATATATACATATATTGGGTACTCCTTTTTTTTAGGCTGAATTTGGCTTTGGTGAAAACGCTAAGAAGAGGGAAAAAAATTGCTATAGAATAATATTATTAACGCAGAATGTGTAACATGGCTACCATCAAGCAGTTTCTGGTTTGCCACACTTGTAACAGAAGATGGCCACGAGAGTGTTGCGACCAAGTACGGCTGAAACTCTCGTCCTTGCTGAGTGAGCACGAGTCCCAGCCGAACACTGAGGCAGCCCACGTGCCTTCACTGACTCAATACAGTTTCCAGCGGGATGCTCACACAGCACTGATGTCTAATCTGTGCCCGCGCTGGCCTGGGGTGTGGGCGTGTCTCCGACTGGTGTGTTTAGCGTCCTATTCCGCCGACGCATCGAAAGTGGTCCGGCAGTGGCAACAAACGACGTCACAAAAGCCGAAGTGTCATGCTGCCGGATGTCGCGATCCTGGCGGTTGGTCGAAGAAGTGCTGGCGAAAAGTGCGAGCGAACGCGAGTGTCGCCGTTGTTATGGCGTCCCAACTTCTGCTTGCCGAATCTTCCGTGGACTGTCAACCTCGAGAGCGACCTGCAGGTGAACAGGCATCTGCCATATCCACCACCGCTGTTGTGACGCCGCCAGGATCGCGGCCAGCGACAGCATGCACTTCTATGACGTCATCGGGCGGAAATCGATGGAACACTTCTCAGGGGCGCGGTAAACACACCAGTCGGAGTTGCGTTTCAGGCACCGTAGCCTTAGTAAAGCCCGTCCAAGCAGTAGCGTTTGACTTGGCTATGTTCAAAATATTACTCGAATAGATCCGAGTTGCTCTCGCGGTTCGTATCACGCGATAACAGAAAACATGACGTCACGAACACGCTGGAGGCGCCGGATTTCCCGTATTCGTTTACGTATCACGACCAAGGCTGGCGTGGTTGTGAGCTTCGCCACTTGGCGTGTCCACGCAATACAACCTGGCCGTTCGAGATGCCCGGTTCGACATGGCGCTCGCACACGCAGCTTGTCGCCATGCGCAGAGCAAGTCGTCTGCTTCATACACAAGAGTTGCGGTGACGTCAGAACGACGCCGAGCTCTGATTGGCTCTGAGTGAAAAGATAATGGGCAGACCTCAATGCTAGATGCCTTGAGATTTACCCATTACATATTTTTTTTTTCAATCAGCCAATAAGAACTCGCCATTCTGACATCATCGCAACCCCTCTGCAAGAAGCAGACGAACTTGCGCTCTAATACCTCCGCGAAGCCTCCACGAATGTCAACCAGAACGTGGTTGGCATTTAGAAAATAAAATAGGGGCTTGAATTGTGTTGCAGTATCCCTTTGATGTAAAACGAAATATATTAATGCCAGGAACTCTTTTATATATATAGGGTCGTTCAGGTCACCGGGCTCGATATTAAATGGACCGTAAAAATCGACGCATGCACGTAGCCATCTAAACTTTTCGTCAAAGGTGTATTTCACAGGTCGGTTTTTCCTTGTAAAATTACAAAGCGTAGCTCCGTTTCTGTAAGAAATAAGGCCAAGAAACTTGCCAGGGTCTACGGCGGGCAGCAACGCAGACGACAGGGGTCCAGTAGCGGGGTGTGTTTGGCGTTCGTATTGATAGATGGCGCTACCTCCTAATCGCGACGGCTCGCGACCATCGTGGTTTATTAAAATGAATGCAATCTTTTTTTAAATGTACATTCGATTAAAAAATGAATGCGAACAATAAAAGCAAAAATTAAAGTAAAAAAAAAACGCGTCTGCATAACGGCGGCGCTTTCGCTGCCAACGGATTTCGTCTGCGTGTCGTCTGCTATCTTCCGCTGGTCGGCTGCACCCTCAGACGCTGCTCCCGACGCCATCTATGAATACGAACGGCAAACACAGCCCGCTACTGGACTTGGTCGTCTGGATCGCCGCCCGCCGTAGACCCTGGTAAGTTTCTTGGCCCTATTTTTTACTAAAAGAGAACAACGCTCTGTAATTTTACAAGAAAAAACCGACCTGCGAAGTACACCTTTGACGAAAAGTTTAGATTGCGACGTGCAGGCGTCGATTTTTACGGTACATTTTAGATCGAGCCTGGTGACTTGAACCACCCTATATATGTATTACTCCAAAACTTTGGAACCGAGAAGTAATTTTTATACATGGCGGGAAGCGTGAGAGTAACCACGTGGCTATATTATATGATCATACCACGTAATTAGACGCCACGAATAAATTTAGAAGAGCTGTGTGAGAGTGAGGAAGCTATAGGCCACCGAATGGGGACTATATAGGAAAGAAACAAGTCAAAACTGCACCGTGAACTGCACTAAATGCAATAAAACCGTACATTATATGTAGACCGACATTATCCGTATACGATCAACGTAAATGAATGACTAGACTTTAACAAAATCAAGTGATGTGCCTCGTGGCATCGACGGAGACGCCGTGGATACCGCCGTGTACGTTGAAATTAGTTGGTAAAGTCGTACCCTATATTATTTACCATTGTAAATAATGGTAAATAATATTTACCATTAGACGAGATTCTAACATATGACAGTAAGAAAAAGGATATGGCTTTATGATATATAAAATATAAGAAATCATTAAGTTGTTTCCTCGTTCATCGAGTGCACTGATAGTATACGTTGAAAAACTATAAAGAAAAAAACGCCAGTTCAAGCAATCACTTATTTATGGGTGCTAGGGAATAAACACCAGCGACGACCAAGACAACCAAACACAAACAATCTTGCTCAAGTCGCTGACACCCTCTTTCTTTTTCCTCCGCAAATCCAAGTTTTCTCGATGTGGTAACACCACTACAGATCGTCTTCAGGCGTCAAAAATTGTGTTCACAAATTCTTTACCTTCAGGGAAATTCGGGAAAACAAAATTCCACGGCTTAAGCAAAATCAAACGCGATACCCGAAAACGCGATCTACGCTAAGACAGTAAGCATGACTTGCTCATTGTACCTGCAAACGTCACTTTTTTTCTTTTTTTTTTTTTTTTAATTCAGTCGTATTTTGAGCTTTGTTATGGAGAATTCGGCAGCCTTCAGATGGCGCCGGCTTTTTAACTTTTTAGCATGTACATATTGTATATATCGTTTTTAACAGGAAAGTCAACAAACTAATACTAACGATTCGATCTCCTTTTAATAATAAAAATACATATACCAAAACCTACTTAGCAATTTTTATTAGTGCGGAGCAATTAATCTATTAACATTCCGATTAATCGATTAATGGTTCGTCACAATATTTTATTTTTCCGGTAAATTGTTTGATCTTTGAGTTTTAAAATTAAGGGATGAAGTGAAAATACCTTATTTTGAACTTAGTGTTCATTTATTTATTTTTAAAGGTTTACCAGTGATTTTTTCCTTTTTTTTGGGGGGGGGGGCGTATTAGCGACAAGTTTAAAACAAAGGTTAATCATGAATGAGATAACATAAAATATTAAAAAGAGAAATGTATAGACTTGACACTGTTCTAAATATTGCGCCCGAATACGAACACGACCGATTAATTCATTGATCAAAGGGTAACTATTAATCGGTTTATAATTTCGTCGACGCACAGCCCTAATTTAATTATTGGCTACAAAAGACAAGACGAATGCATTGTAATGTAATTATCTTTTTTACAGAAGAAATGTGCAGTTGTATACGGCCACAAGAACAGTGCAAAAGTGATTCAACGTTATTCTGGGCATGGAATTATAACGGCGTAAACTGTACGAGAAATCAGCACTGTGTACGTACCATATTCGACTTTACCAATGAGAAACAATGCAGGGCACTTTGCATGAAGGGTAAGTGCGGACGCTGAACCAAATATATTCTCCGAAGCAAGAGAGACAGCTCAATATTTACAAATTATGGGCAGATTATCATGGGTAGAAAACCAATCCACCCCCCCCCCCCAAAAAAAAAGATAAAAAAAAAAAACTTTTAATAAGAAGTTGTTTTCGTGGGACTGCATGTCACATAGGCTGCATTGTGTTAGTTCACCATGAGAACCAGTAATTGGTGTGGAGTGTGGAACACCCTGGAACACCAACTATACTAAACTATCCACCTTACTGTCTTATTTTTCATAGGCGATAATTTTGAATAAGAATTAGTTTTAAAGAGATACTGAAATTAAAAATTTTAATGTATAACTCAAGTTCCTAACTAATTTCGACATTATCAACTTAATCTGCTAAATGCAATCACAGGTTTGCAAGTTGAATAGCTGCGACAGTGAAGAGAAATCCGGTTCGATCATGTTTGACAGCTATACGCGCGTTCTGAGATCGGCGCAGTAATTTTAATATATAACTCAAGTTCATAACTAATTTCGACATTATCAACTTAATCTGCTAAATGCAATCACAGGTTTGCAAGTTGAATAGCTGCGACAGTGAAGAGAAATCCGGTTCGATCATGTTTGACAGCTATACGCGCGTTCTGAGATCGGCGCAGTAATTTTAATATATAACTCAACTAATTTCGACATTATCAACTTAATCTGCTAAATGCAATCACAGGTTTGCAAGTTGAATAGCTGCGACAGTGAAGAGAAATCCGGTTCGATCATGTTTGACAGCTATACGCGCGTTCTGAGATCGGCGCAGTAATTTTAATATATAACTCAAGTTCATAACTAATTTCGACATTATCAACTTAATCTGCTAAATGCAATCACAGGTTTGCAAGTTGAATAGCTGCGACAGTGAAGAGAAATCCGGTTCGATCATGTTTGACAGCTATACGCGCGTTCTGAGATCGGCGCAGTAATTTTAATATATAACTCAAGTTCATAACTAATTTCGACATTATCAACTTAATCTGCTAAATGCAATCACAGGTTTGCAAGTTGAATAGCTGCGACAGTGAAGAGAAATCCGGTTCGATCATGTTTGACAGCTATACGCGCGTTCTGAGATCGGCGCAGTAATTTTAATATATAACTCAAGTTCATAACTAATTTCGACATTATCAACTTAATCTGCTAAATGCAATCACAGGTTTGCAAGTTGAATAGCTGCGACAGTGAAGAGAAATCCGGTTCGATCATGTTTGACAGCTATGCGCGCGTTCTGAGATCGGCGCAGTACTTTCGCTGAGAAGCGCTGCTTTTTGGGACCATGCTTTTTTGGGAACGACATTCTAAGTCGCTTTGGGAACATGCACCCGGTGCAATTTGTTAATCGTTTTATATTCGTCTTAAACAAGGTTTTGGTGTCTTTTCAAACAAAAAGTTGGTTTCTTTCTGGTGTTGCCACAACATATTTGGCATTTAGACACTTAGGCGCAAGAATTTCCTTTCAGTACCGTTTTAAGCAGCTTACGTAATGAACATCGTTACGCTCATATTTACTTCGTATTCTCATAAAAAATTAACTTCAGAGATTTACGCTGTGGGATCGTTTGTAGTATTCAATACGGAACATTTTTACCCGCAGAACAATATAAGACTGATTGCACTGACGAACTTAAACGTGAGTTCGAAGTTACCAGCAAATGTCCGAATAACTACGAACAGAGATACTACTTCAACAGAAATAGAAAAATGTGTAGATGGTTCGTCTATGATACCTGTGACGAGAATGGCACACCTGACGACCCAGAGAACTCTGACAACGGAAACAACTTCTTATCAAAACATGAATGCGATGCTGCTTGTATTAGGTAAGAAACATGGCAAAATCTCGACACGTTACTGCTAGTTGCATGAAATCCAATCACGATAGTCTAAAGCTTGGTCAAAACCAACGCGTTTTTGTGCGCCCGTAAGTCGTACGCTTCCCGGAAATTGCGTATTTCGTGACGTCGCGCTGATTCCTTGCGCCTTCCGGGGGCGCATAAGAAGGTTGGATGATTTCAACTTTTTTATGAACGCGAACAAGAACGCGCTGTGACGTAGTAGGGCTCTCCTCTCCCATATCCTCTCCCGGCCAATCGGTGGACGGCAGCAGTTCCGGCTACGCGTTTTTTCCGCCGTTGGGCGCAGGTGCTCTTCGCTCGCCCGAAAGTTCATCGTCCCAACCAACGCGCACGCTTGTGACTCAGAAAGCGCACCAGAAACAGCAAGAACGTCACGAAATATACAATTTCCGCGAAGCGCACGACTTTCGCGCGCACAAAAACGCGTTGGTTTGGATCGCGCTTACTTGTTTTAAACGGAAGCTAGCCTAAACACGAAATGGTTAGACTAAAAAATGAAAAAAAAAAAAAAAAAAAAGTTTCTGATTCTTTCAAGTTTGCATGCGGCATATCTGCTCTTATGTTTTCTACCCACCTGTGTGTTTCGTATCTTGAATATTCCCATAGTTTACGTTGTATACATTTGTAATTTCAGTTCCCAGAAAACAACATTGTAGTTCCAAGAAAAGCTGATCCCCCGAACGCAAATTCCTGCACAAACGGCGTAAGAATATTGACTGCCCCTATTCGATGGAATCTTTTTTTTTTTTTGTAAATAAAATTATTTCTATATGTTATACTAAATGCTGTTTTACTGGGTTATATATATTATTGTGATAGTTCGGCTACTAGGTCTGTCTACCCACTATTCGTTCGAACCAGAGTTCGGAGTTATGACGTACGCTCTGGTCTCCTCCTCTCCCTCAATCTCTTGGCGAATTAACTTACTAAGGCCGTGTTCCAAAATTTCCTCGATTTTACTCCAGGGTAAGGGTTTTGTACCCTTGGCGTTCTAAAACCTTACCCGCGTCCAGCGTTTTTCAATCTGTTCTGTCACGTGACAGGATCCGCCGGAGTAACTCGGATCCATTTGGGTAAGATTTGGAACACAGCCTAAGACACCGTTTTTGCTCCTGAGATGTTATTCTACTGCGTCGGCCAGATGAATTTCGTCCATCGCAAAACTCAGCTTTGCATGCTTCCAGATTGTAATTTGCCAGAAACGGGAGTTTAGGTGATATAATTGTTTTGCAAAAATACCAAAGGAACCACTCACCTTCATCAAAACTAACAGGTAACGCGCAAAACGGTTCCTATGACTCAGTACAAAGTTAAACCTTTTTAGATTAAAGGGGGAAAAGCGTTCTTTTGATCCATTGGGCAATCTTTTGGATAAAACAGGGAACGAAAGCGAATCTAGAACGATATTTTCGCTCAGATCTGTTTATTTTTATTCCAAACATCCCAAACAAGGTTTCTTGTTGATGTTCTTTTTAACAGCACGAAAACAAATTAACTTTTGTTGGCCCATAAAAACAATGATGTGCTCTTTTTTCAGTTATAATTTTTCACTGAAGCAAGTTAGTGGTTTCGTATTTTAAAAGGAATCTATCACAGAGCCGCACCTTCATGCTAAACTACGATGTTAGAGCACGCACAATTATTTTTTGGTATTTATTTAAAGTGGGTTGGACCTGCGTGGTTCTTGCTTTATAACGAAATTAACACAGCACCACACTATCAGCGCAAAAAAAAAAAAAGCGGTCACCGGTCGTTGTTGCTGTTTTTTTTGTTTTTTTTTTCACATCTCACAATTTTAAAGTGATACTGAATCGAAAATTAGGTTTCGTAAAATAAGGTCACAGAAGCGTTGAACGGGACGCTACAAACTCCAAAACATCACTCATACATCGATATCTCAAACGGATGGCCGTACTTCTGAAAAAGAAGGGCGCGATCAAGCGAGGGCTATGACGTCATTGTCCTCCTGGATAACTTGAGAATGAGGGGAAACCACCTTGCTACTCTCCTCCTTGCTTCGGTTCACCAGCTCGGCGGGACGTAGCGAGGAGGAGAGGGAATGAGAATCGTGACGTGACTTGTCTCGTCGGCCTCGTCAGCCGTATTCAATCGTGCACTTATTTTCCAAAAATACGGCGATCCGTTAAAGATATCGTTGTATGAGTTACGTTTTTTTTTAGTTTTGCAGCGTCCCGCCTATCCGTCCAGCCTTGTTTTGTGAGTTCAAAATTTGAATTCAGAGGTAACATTAAGTTTCTAGCATCGTGGAATGTGCTTATCTGGGACAATAAATGTCAATAACTTATAGGCGGTAAAATTTTATCTTCACCAATAGTAATTCTCAACAAAGCGCGAGAAAGAGCAGAAGTTCTGTTCACGCAAACAGTGTCGCACGCTAATGCTAAGACCAGAAACACAGCGTCTTTTTTAAGTAATTTGAACGCCGTGATACAAATCCATTTTACCACTTCCTTACAAAGAACGCATTGGCAAGCGCTTGTTTCTTTTTCTTTTCTAATGTCTGGGGCGAATCGTCACCCGCATTTCGTATCCCGCTTCCTATTTGTATTGAGGACGGAGGATTGAGCATGGCACGCAAATTACCAGCTATATTCAATTTTCCTGTCTAGAAACGGAATGTGATATATGGCTGGGTCCTATGAGTCCCCAGTAACAAAAGATCGTCACATTCGTTGCTTTAGCGTTCGGCTGTAACTCGAGTCCTCGCTGATTGAACACGAGTCCCGGCCGAATGCCGGCGCAAAGCTCGTGTCCAATGTGCGCCCCCTCGCTGCCCTTCGGTAGAAGACGGAGGAAAGCTGTTATAGAGGAAGTGTAGTGCCAGCGCGCTCGCACCTATGGCGAAAATGTGCGCAGAAGCAATACTCCTTGGACGACAATGTCTGCAAGATCTGTGCCATTCTCTCACAAACGTCACCACTAGTGGATCCACGCAGAGTCGCATAGCTCGCGTCAGCATCGCTTTGCCGCGCGTCTTCCAGCGCGGCGCTAGCACACCAAGACGGGTGCGTCTGCCGGTTTGCGGTGTCTTGCGTCGAGCTTCAGCGTGTTTGTTGCTTGGGGCGCGACGGGGTTCCAGAGCGCGCCATCGTCGGCTGATTATCAGCGCCCCGTGGCCAAATGAGGCAACACTGGGAAGGCTAAAATCGGCTCACTACACTACCGACTGTTTTAAAAACCCATCAAACGTTAAATATATTAATCTGCATGCGTGTTTGGTTGTGTGGTTCTAAGGAGTTTTAGTAGGTGCCTTCCTCGATAGCTTGAGACTAGTGCCACTAAATAAGCTTCGCTTAAGAGTAACGACACTTGCCCATCTTGTGGCTTAAAATCATGGTTGCCAGTTATCTTAAGCTTTATCTGAAATCGCAAGAAACGCTTTTCCGTTCTCCAGAAATGTTTAAACAGTTCGAGACGGAGCAAATTTGCTATTTTGCATGAGTTTCCTAACACCGAAACTAATGGTGAGGAAGTCGCACTTCTGAATCATGACGATCGGCAGTTCCGTCTGCTCTTTACAAGCACCGAAGTGCTGGCGCCCACAACAACATCGGGAACAGAGTGCCAATACTCTAAGCCAAGGGTCTCTAACATGCGGCCCGCAGGCGACCAGCTACGAGCCCCAGTTAATATGTCTCGAGCGCAAGAAATGGCATGCAAGTTCCAAAGATAAAGCTACGAGTTCGGAACTCTCGCTTAAAAAAAGACAAAAAAGCACGCCACATTAAAAGACAAGTGTTTTTTCAGAGTGAAGTAATAAATCTTGTCATGAAAGCGAGAACTGTCAAATTAACTGATTGCTTTGAGACATGTAGAGCTCGATTAATTTCCGAGTGAACTGAGCAAGTGGAACGACAGTGTACTAGCTAGCTCTCCTGTTCCATTAAAAATGCCAGCACGTTGGCCGGACGGTGTCTGTATAGTTCTTGTTACCACATCAAGTCAGTATTCATATAAACAAATCAAATAAAAAGATGTCACTGGCAATACTGAGTTTACAAAAACCATAAAGCACAAGGTCTCTTCACTTTAAGATCTTCTTACATCCCCCCCCCCCCCCCCCCCCTTCCCATGTTGGCCCTCGAGCTTTTCGGTGTGGGCTTGAGACCACTGCTCTAGGCGTAGCTCATTTAGTGGCTCTAGTTCCGACTAAAGTCCCTGGATAGTTGAGACGACCCAAAACGGGAGCTTAAACGTCCTGATATTACGGGTAGTTATATATTTTTACGTTGTTTGCACGCGCCTCGAAATTACAAAAGCGAAGACTTCCGGCGAGCTTCCCTCCTCTACAAAAGCGAAACTCAAATCACCCCCCCCCCCCCCAAATCTCCCTCACCCTCACTTTTTTTTTTTTTTTTTTTTTTTTTGCATGAATAGCTGAGTTTGTTTTAGCGATCAGCTTGTTTCTCACCCCCTCGTCGTCGTGTTGAGGACGACTGTGGTGTCCGAGGAATGTTTCTTTCGCGCAAACTGACTGTAGTTTGGACGGTGCCGTACGCAGTTGTTCGTCGCAAGCTGATGCTCGTTCTTGACGATTGAGTTGAATAAACCCCACGTGGATAACCTTTTCTTGTGGGATAGGTACTTTTTTTTTTTTTTTTCATTTCTTGGGTAGACTGTTTTCTCGCAGCGGAGACCAAGTTAGAACCGTATAGACGCGGGTCGAAATAGCGCAACCATCTTGGACAGCTACGCGATATCGCTAAAGGCGCAAACGTCAGTCCACTCTGCAACCGGCGAAGAGGAGAAAACCCTCGCTACGGTAACTAACGCTTACATGTCCACAAAACGTCGTTCGATCAAAATGTGTCTGCGGAGCAGAGAGCAGTGAGAATGTCAAAGGACTGATAGTAGAGATGCATTGCACCGAACCCAAAGACAACGCCGGGCTTCGAGCGCATTAATTTCAAATATCGAGTCAAATGGTACGTTTAGAAATTCATCTCAAGTCAGGCAATGTCAACGGAATGCTTATTTTACACGTTTTATGGCATTTATTCATCTCCGGCGGCGTTATATTTCCTACGGCCTCGACGGGAACCTGCGGAGCTTCACGCCTGCTAAGCTTCCGGGGTTGCGACAGTCGGGTACGCAACAATGCCTACAGCTTCGATTTTTGCTTTTCTACGATATCCGATAGCAATGCTAACAATAAAATACCAAAAGCGCACGAATCAAGCTTCAAAGTGATACGTGAACAGCCCCAAGAGCAAGCAGGCTGGCGAAATAGACTTCTCAGTGTTGCAAATATTATGAGCTAGATGGCGCAACGTGTCACGCCAAACTTGATTGCCCTGAGGCTATTGGCGACGAGATGTTTTGTTGGCGCCACCTAGGGGCGCCCTCCTGTGACGCAGCTGGTAGGATGCGAGTAGACGACGCGCTATGTCAAAGCACGGAGTGGCTATGTTAGTTTCCATCTTCCCGATTAAAAACGATTTATTTAATAACGAAACACGTATAACGTTTTGTGAGTGATCTTTCTAATGAACCGATCCGGTTTGTTCATACTCCTTAAAGGGGCACTGACACATCAAAATCATATTTTTTTTTTATTATCCGAAACGATTGAAAACAATGCCGGGACATTACCCTCAAAATTTGAAATTTGGGAATTCAGTATTTGTGAAGTAAA